CAGTTTTTTTGTTTTTTTTAACCCTTCACATCATCCTCTTCAGGGTTTATTTCCATGGATTTTTTTTTCTTGTGCGTGTATAAAATCAAACCGAAGGGGAAAAATAATAGGTTTTTGAAGTTCAGAACCAACTTCTGTACATAGGCTGCCATAAAGGACTTTTTCTCGGGAACATTGTTTCTTGTAGAAACATGTGGGAAGACTTTTTTGCTTATTTCTTTGTACTTCCAAACACACACACACACACACACACACACACACACACACACACACACACCCCCAAGCAAGTCCCCCACACCCCAGAAAGCAAAGCAGGCGTGTAAATAACTTACGGGAAGTGACTGTTGTGACCAGGACTCATCCTCACCGAGACGGGAGCTCCTGGCGGGGCCACCCCCCCCTGCGGACGCAGGCCCGAGCCTCTGGTATCTCAGCTTGTGTCAAGCTTGTTATCATGTAAATTCTGTACAAAGAATTGTTATTTTTTTCTTTTCTTTGTCGTTAGTGGTTTTTGTTGTGTTTTTCTTTTTCTTTTTTTTTCTTCTAATTTCTTCACCCCATGCCCTCTCTGTTTGAGACTGTGCCCGCCAGTTTCAAGGTCGATGAAATCGGTGGCATTAAGACACGGAGGGGGACGTGGGCACAGCGGCAACCTTCTCTTCCTTTTGCGGTTTTCTGCCTCATTGTGCAACCAAGGAAATATTTATTTTTCACATGAGGAAATGTGTAGTGTGTAGAGACGGCTGATTTAATTTACTTCAGCAGCCCCCAAGGGGCTGTCTTCACTCTACCCCCTCCTCCCATAAAAGAAGTGGAGGGGGGAGGTGAAGAATCCAGAGTCCGGGGTCCAGCCTCACCTCACCCTGGCCTCACCTTGCCCCACCAGCCTTCACTAAGGGCGAGCGAGGGCCTGGGCCCTCCCCATCCCCAGGAACCCCCGCCTCACCCCTGACATGGCTTGAAATAGCCAGAAATGTGTCAATTCATTTTTCTTTCGATGCCTTCATTTTCATGGAACAAATCTTTACTTTTGCAGAGTTGGGGGTTTCTGCTTTTTTTTTCCCCCTCCCTCCCTCCTCCTTGCCTCCCTCCTCCCGCAAAGAAGAGAACCCATGAGTTTTAGGGATGTTTGTGCATAGAGATTCATTGTATGTAACTTGTTTTGAAGAGAAGTGTTTCCGTTGTGGGTGTGTCTTGCTGTAAATATTTGTTCATATTTTTGTGAATTCAATACTATGTACCATTGTATTATAGTAACTTTTATAAAGCAAACCATAAATATACTGACTTTTCTTACAGACACGCCGTCTCTTGCTCTCTCCCCCTCTTCTCCTTTCTTCCTGTTGGGGTTCACATGGAGGGGGTGCTGGCTGGGCTCCAGCAGTATGGGGTGAGGGCAGAAGGAGCTAGGTGGGGTGTGGTCCACTCAGAGCATCTGTTCTTTTTAAAACATACATATGTTTTTTCATCCAGTTTTACTGAGACGTAATCGAACTGCAGCACTGTAAGACCAGCTGTTTTTAAACTCTGAGCCTGTAAGTGAATTCTATGAGCTGGGACAAGTTGTAGTCACTAGACCTTCCACAGCTTTTAAGTTTTCCTTCTAGAACTTTTCTTAAAACATTAGGTACCTAACACTGCTAACGGTCCTCAATGAGAAAAGGAAGATCAAATATCCTATTGCTGTTACCAGAAGATCTTGGAGCATGTACCTCGGAAATGATTAACTCTAAGGAAGCAGCACTCTGGTCTGTATTTGAGGGACAAGGGGAGCTGATAAAACAATCACACTTTGAGAAGAACTAAATGCATGTAGTGTCATGATTTTCAGAGGTTCCGTGCCAAGTAGGGCTCAACTCTGCCTGGCCAGTGGCGGGGTCACTGAGGGGCCCACAGAGAGTTTGTTAGATGAGATCCACTTATCCCTGAGGACAGACTCAAAACCTCAGCAAAAAGCAGTAAGACTGGAAAGATGGTGTATCTCACTTCTTCTGTAGGAACACAAATGGTGTTACCCTGATACCATGGCGGCTGTCAGCTGGCAAGTACCAGTGATGAGAGTGGGGTGTGGGCGCTCATGCACCATTAGTGGAAGCATTAGTGGCTGAACCTTTAGGAGGAAAAATTAGATAATGATCAATATTTAAAGTGCACATAAACTCTTGGCTCAATTGTTCCACTGTCAGGAACTTAGCCTGAGAGCCACAAGCAGACAATGATACGTACAAGGATGTGCTTTGCAGCCTTACTTGTGAGCAAAGAAATGAAGGCAAAGGAGGTGTGATTAGTGATGGGCTGTTTTCTGGAAGTGTCCATCCAGACATGTGAACACCACTGGACTTGGATTCGAGGGAACAGAAAAAGAGTTGACAATGAAGCTAGTCAGGAGAGAAAAGGTTGTAGGGGCAGCTGCTGGCCATTCACTCATTCATTCAGCCAATATTTCTTGAGCACCTACTATGTGCCTGGTACTCTTCTAGGCACTGGGGCTACAGGAGTGAAGAATATACACTCCTTGTCTAATGGTGATTGTGTTCTTGTGGATGAGCTGGGCAACCAGAAAGAATAAATGCTATGATAGGAGAAAAATAGCTTCAAGAAGGGAGTATCAGTGGGAGGGAGGTGAAATTTTTAACAGGGGGTCAGGGAAGCCAACTTAACCAACACGTGAACAAAACTCAAAGGAGATAAAGGAGTCCCGCCCTGTGGAGACCTGAGAGGGAGGTGTTCCAGGCAGAAGGAACAACAAGTGCAAAGGTCCTGAGGCAGGAGCCTGCCTGGTGTATTTGAGGGCCAGCAAGGAGCTGTGTGGCTGCAGCTGAATGAGGGAGGGGTGAGTAAAGGAAATGAGGTCTGAGAGGTGCCGGGTTGGGGACTGGGGGAGGCAGACGCTGTAGGGCCTTGCAGGGCAGCAGAGGGGCAACCCGCGGTGTCCAGCTCAGGCTCACAAAAGAAATCCACATCCAGACCTGAATTTCCTTCATGTTCCCTCTCCAACCTGCTGCCATATTGCCCCGTTTATCAATGGCACCCTGTTCCATGCCTCCACCACCACTGCCGCCGCTGGGTCCCTGCACCCTGGACTTCCTTCCCCCTTCCCTCAGCTATAAAGTCTGACGGGTCTCCTTCCACCCCACTCTTCAAATCCATCCTCCTCTCCCTCTGCCCCTCAGTCCCACACGATGAGTCCTTTCTTCACTGGTTCTACTGTGGGGGCCAAAAAGGGAGCCTCAATTCAGGACATCTGCATGAATGGAGCAGATGGGAGTGTGCTGAAGAGAGGGGCAGTGCCAGGTAGACTTGGGCAAGAGCCCCTCGCTCAGGGCCCTCTCCATAAATAACAAGAGAAAACACATAGCACTGACATTCTGTCAGCCACAGTTTTGAACATCATTGACATTAAATCACAGTAGCGTTAGGAGGTGGGTATTATTATCAATCCCATTTAACAGATGAGGAAAACTGAGGCACAGAGAGGTCAAGTAGTTTGCCCAAGGTCACACAGTTAGCAAGTGGCTGATCTAGGGTGTGAACTCAGGTAGTCTGGCTCCCTAGTCTATGCTCAGCTAATGTGGGTCTGCTCTGCCCCGTCCCATCTAAAGAGGCACCTACTACTTTGTACCAGCAGATCATCACCACTTAAGAAGGCAAGCCTAGAACTGCCTGGTTATTCCCAAAACCAGAATCCTAGAATTTGTATGTGAAATATTTCATCCTTCCAAAATGTTGCCTCAAATTTGTCTAAAACCAGGCAGACAAAATAAAATACATCTGTGAGCCAAAGTTGACCCATGAGCCGCCAGTCTGCAACCTCCGGTGTTACAGAATTTCCCTTCTTTGCATAACCTTGGGAAAAGAGAGGGGAGGGTATCTTTAACCAGCAGCACAAGCCTAGGACCTGCCATTGTTCCTCTGGTTCTGAGTGGAAAGAACTGCTTTTCTTTTCATTTCTGAATTTCATGATCCCAGAAGCCCTGACTTCTATAACCTGAAAAAAGAAAAATTCTCCCAATTCTTGCACTATACCAATTCAGATCTTTTTTTTCTTCCACTGAGCTCCACCTGCTGCTAGTTCTGAGTTGACTCCTCCTCAGGGAGGGCTGTCAAGCATCAGAAGCAGAAGGAAAGAGGTCCTGTTTGCTCCCACCTCCTCTTCTCTGGTTTCAAAGAAATTTTTTTCTTCCAAGTGTTTTTGTTTCTTTTTTCTTTTCTTCTCTTTAAAAAATTTATTCCGTATGTTTTAGGACCAGTAGCTCCTTTCCCAACTGTGTCATTCTTTTGCAAGGGCCACTCACACTTGAGTATGAACTAACCTCTTTCCAAATGGAAAAAGGCTGGGGGGAGCGGGGCTGCCTGAGGTTGTGGAGGGGCACTAGTGCCTGCCATGCTGAAGGTAGAAGGAAGAAGCTGAGGGGCTCAGATCCCTTCTACTTGCTCTCAGACCAGGAACCATGTCCGTGATTGCTGAGCAAGGATGATGCCCCAAAGTCCCTTGGCCAACTCCCTCCCCTCTCCTATGTCCAGAAGTTTGAGCTCAGGGCAGCAAAGTAGAGAACATAACGCCATCAGACAGTATGTTGCCAAGCTTTGTCCCACCTTAGGGCCTTTATCCTTGCCGTACCCTCTTCCTTGGATGCTCTTTCCCCAGGTTTCACCTTGGCTGGCTCCCAAATGTCACCTCCCAGAGGAGCCTTCCTTCCAGCCCCCGCCCATCTTCACCTCCACACCATCTCATCACCTGCTTTATTTTCTTACTAGCTTTACCACTCTGCGAAACAACATTGTCTGTATTTCCCTCCAGGGTGTAAGCCCTCTGCACTCCTTGATTCCAGAACTACCCTGGACCCGCGCCGTCCTACTTAGCACAGTGCTTGCGCAGCGAGCCTCCTCCGATCCCGCAGCCTCCGAACCCCTAGCGGGGACGCCCCTGTAGCGCTGTTGCTCTGAGCTCCCCCTCGCGGCCAAAAGCCGTCACTGCTCCAGTCCAGCACAAACACTTGGACACCGACGGCCTTGGACCTGGGGTCCCCTTTATTCCGAAGCGCAGGAGAGGGAGTGCCCCAACCGAGGGGGCGTGGTCAGGGGGTGGGCGGAGTTTTAGGACCAGGCGATGCCTCGTGGGCGGGGTCTAAAGCAAGTGGCCAATGAGGGCTCGCCATTCAGGGCCTGTGGAGTGGGCGTGTTCCCGGCCGGGGGCGTGGCCCACCTTGCCTCTGCAGGTGGGCGGGGCCTTGGTGGGTCGGGCGGGGCCTTGGTGGGTCGGGCGGGGCCTTGGTGGGTCGGGCGGGGCCTTGGTGGGTCAGGCGGGCCAGTGGAGCCTACACGACTCCGCTGGTCTCCATGTCGGTGAGGTTGCCCCGCAGGTCCTGCTCCTCCTCGAAAGCCTTGAACAGTGAGTTGAAGTTGCCGGCTCCAAAACCCTGGAGCGGGAGAAAGGAGGTGAGCTACCGGCCCAGAAAGCCAGACGTTGGGGACAGTCTGTACTTCGTGGTACCTGGTGGTTGTGGCGTTGAATGACTTCCAGGAAGAGCGTGGGTCGGTCCTGCATGGGCTTCGTGAAGATCTGCAGGAGGTAGCCTTTCTCGTCGTAGTCCACTAGAATTTTCAGCTCCTAGGTGGGAGACAGAAGACTAAGGTAAGGGGGTGGGGCTGACCTGCCACTCTAGCCTAAAATGATGGCATCCTTAGAAAGGCCATGGGGCTCCTGCACCCTCAAAGCCAAGATCCCTTTCTCTGGCAGTTCCAGACAGCTCCAAATAGATCACCAAGTTGTCCTATTACCACCCTCTGCCGCAGCCCCTTTGTAAACTACCATCAAGGCTGACCTAGGCCATCCCAGTAGCTTCTTGCCTCCTTACAATCCATCTTCCCCCAGACAAGAATCTTTCAAAAATCAGATCATCTCACTCTCCTGTTTAAAACCCTCCAGTGGAAACTGGAACCCTCATACATGGCTGGTGGGAATGTAAAATGGTGCAGCCGCTGTGGAAAACAGACTGGTGATCACTCAAAAGGTTGGAATTACCATATGACCCAGAAATTTCACTCCGAGGTATCTACCCAAGAGAATTAAAACATATGTCCACACAAAAACGTGTACCCAAATGATCATAGCAGCATTATTCACAATAGTCAACAAAGTGGAAACAACCCAAATATCCATCAACTGATTAATGGATAAGCAAAATGTGGTCTATTTATCCAGTGGAATATTATTCAGCTATAAAAAGAATGAAGTACTGATGCATTTAACCTTGAAAACATGAAGCTAAGTGAAAGAAGCCAGTCACAAAAGATTACATATTGTATGATTCCATTTATATGACATGTTCAGAAAATCAACTCTGTAGGGGCAGATCAGAGGTTGCCTAGGGTTGAGGGCAAGGCAATAGAATGGTGGGGTTGAGAGATGTTGGCTAAGAGGTGTGAGGCTTCTTTTGAGAATGATGAAAATGTTCTAAAATTGATTTTGGTCATGGTTGCATAATATAGTGAATGAATAGCCAAAACCCACTGAATTGTGTGTTTTTAAAAAATGACATGTGTTATATAACTTATATATCAATAAAGCAGTTAAAAGCAAAGCCAAAAAAACCTCCAGTGGTTTCTGGCCACAGAAGAACAAAATCCAAACTCCTAAATAGCCTACCAGAGGAGCTGGCTCCTGTCTACTTCTATGACCTGGGCCACTCCTCAAATATTTCCTTTTATCCACTCTGATCTTCTTTCTGTTTCTCAGATACTCAGAGCTTGCTCCTGCCTCAGGACCCTTGCACCTGCTGTTCCCTCTGCCAGGACTGCTCTTTCCCCAGCCCTTCACACAGCCAGTCTCTCATCATCTAGATTTCACTGGAAGGTCACCTCAGAGAGGCCTTTCCTGACTACCTCCTGAGTAGTAGCCCTCGGTCACTCTCTGTCATAGCCTGTTTTAAGTTTCTGCACCGCACCAGTGTGCGCTCTCTCCCCTGATGGTGTTTGTATCATGTCTCCCCACTAGAATGCAAGTCCCATGATGGCAGGGACCTGGCCTGAATCCTGCCCCTCTTTGTCCCAGTGGCTGATGATGCCTTGGTCTTGATAGAGGTTTAGACAACATTTGTGAGATAAGGTGGAACTCAGGGCTCGTCCTCCTCAGTTGAGCAAGGATCCTGCTCTCGGCCTCACCTCCAGGACATCAATATTCTCTTTCACCCGGATCTTGGCCGACTTGAGCTTCTCCCTCAGTTGTTTGTAGTATGTGGACGGAACAGCCAAGAACTCCATGCCTCTCTCTCTCAAGTGGCGAATCTGTCTCAGAGCAGGGTCAAAGTCAGCCTCCTCCTCTCTCCACACTCAGCAACTCCAGCCAGGTGGAAGTGTTGGGCCAGGAGGAGGCAGCGGCCCTGTCCCTGCTGCCCCCAACTGCCAGGTGTGACTTCATCCCCTTCCTCTGCTGGGCCTTGTGGGTCCCATTAGGAGAACAGTGATCACTAACATTTATGGAGCCTCACTATGTGCCTGCTTCAAGCACTTTTATGTACTGCCTCGTTGTGTCCACGCAGTAATTTTTGAGACACCTGGAAGTAGACTCAGGACATTTAATTTGGCTGAAAAGACCTAATGGATCTTTAGCTTAATATCCTCATTTTTAAGGTGAGGCAACTGAAGCCCAGAGAGAGGGTTGAATCTCCCAGAGACACACAGGAAGTCCCTGGAAGAACTGGGTCTAGAATTGAGGCTTCCTGGTATTCTGGCACCTGCTACTTCCAGAGCAGAGAGACTGAACTTTCTGGGGTGGGAAGGCCCCTGCACCAGAGTGGCAGGAGCCAGTCAGGGAGCCCTGTGGGCCATCTGGTCTGGTGAAGGGGTCCCAGGACTGCCACTTGCCACCCCCACCCCCAAGCCCCTGACTCTGTTTTGCAGAGTTTGGCTCTGGAGCTGAATGGGAGATGAATTAGGACCAGTAATGGACTTCTAACCGCTGTGATGATGTCTTGGGTCTTGAGTGCAATGTGCTGGACCCCAGCACCCCCGTTATAGTCCACATATTCCTGGGGGAGGGAAGCAAAGAATCCACCATCAGTGGCCACCATCACCCACACCCCTGCCCCTGTGAGAGCCTTCCAACCTCTTCCCTGCTTCCTTCTTCCCCAGCCAAGGTCCCCGGAGCGCAGGGAAGGCCCCACCTGGATCTGGGACTTCTTCCTGCCCGGCGCTGGCTCGTTAATGGGCATCTTGATGGATTCCTCGTAATTGGCCACCACGATGGACCGCAGAGAGCTGTATTCCGTGTGTACCTGTGTGTCATCCACGGACCAGAAACGATGAAACTGCAGGTTCTTCAGGTACCTGTGGGGTGGCCGGAGGGGCATGCTAACTCTGACTGCTGGCCTGCAACTGGGCCCCCAACCCTACTCCACCTTCCAGAATTTGTTCCTGGAACAGGCTCCAGGAGGGAACCACCTTTCATATCACACACATCATAGATTTATACCTTTATTATGACAATTTTCCTTCAAGTCGAAGTAAAGCATCCGGTAACAAGATCTGTATATATGGCAACACTCCAGCAGATGGAGGTACTTCGAGAAGGGGCACTTGCTTCTAGCTTACATAGGGGTGCTCTTTGGGTGGTGACGGCCTTCCTCCCAGCCTCCCTGGACTGTGACACCCCTGTGCAGATTCCCCAAGGTTCCTCAGGGGGAGGACCTGTGGGTCACTTTGGGCCTTAAATCCTCTGGTCTCCATGGTGACGGTTTTACAGGGAACAGATGAATCGGTGACCTCAGACTAACCTCCCCTGACCTTGGGCTGTATTTCCTCACAAGATTGGGAGCAGGCCTGTCCCCCGTGTGAGAAGGGCCTGGGCCAGGGACTCACCATTCTGAGGCAGACAGCATCTCCTGATCAGGCTGGTTTCCCACAATGTGATCGATTATCTCGAGACCGCAGTTGGGCCTGGGAGACGGATGCTGTTAGGGGTGAGGAGAAGGCTACTCCCTAAATCTCCTCCTTCCCCCAGCCCCTCAATAACAAGAACCCCTTGCTGTTCATAGACGCTTTATTTGCATCAACTCACTGTTACTAGCTCCATTTTACAGATGAAGAAACTGAGGCATGCAGAAATAAAGTAACTCGCCAAGGTTAAATAGCTAGGAAGTGACAGCTGGGATTTGAACTGAGCCAATCTGGTTCCAGAACCTATGCCCTTAGCCTCTATGGTGCCTTTTTAAGATACCCCGGGGGACTCTCAGGGGCTCCCCAGCAGGCTCCCAGATGCTCTGCTACCTCAGAGAAGCCCAGTCTGCTTGGAGGAAAAAGCACGCATTGTTTCCCACTGCAGCCCCCAGGGGCACTCACAGCTTGGAAAGCAGGGGGTCCGTGGATGCTGGGGCCTCAAATCCAGGCAGAAACCGGCCAGTGTAGTTCATCTTCTCCACCAGGGTGTGTGTAGTGTCCCCATACTGTGGGAGGCAAACAGCCCAGCTCCCATCCCCACTGAGGCCAGACCACATTTCATGGCGCCGATGGAGCCCTGACCTGACCAACCCAAACCTGACCCTATCCAGGTGTGATCTTGGGCAAGTCAAGTCCCCTTTCTGAAATGACTGCAATCTGACATTTGGGGATTTTTGACAGTCTGTCTGCCCCCCAGGACCATAAGCTCTGTGAGGGTGGAGAGCGTGGGGTCCTAGCGCATAGTAGGTGCTTAGTTTAAATGTGTTGACTGAATGAAGAATGATGAGGGCATTGGATCAAATTTGATGGAAGGGCCCTTTCAGTCACTGTAACCATCTTTAAGTTGTACTTAATCTTGAGGAGGTAGGACTCAGGTGCCAAACAGACTTGGTCACCTGTGCTGAGTGTCTAGCATATGCCAGGCGCTGTTCTCAGGGCTGTACATGAACAAGCTCATTTTATACTTAAAATGACTGTGGGAGGGAGTCTAGCTGAAGAAATGGGCACAGAAAGGTTAAGTAGCTTGTGGCATGTCAACAGATGGACCACACAGGTGATCCCTTGCTCATTTAAGTGGAGACAGAGAGGCGAAGTGATTCACCCAAAGTCACACAGCCTGAGCAGGGCGGAGTTTCCCCAGACCCACTCATCTCCTCCTTCCTTCAGAGCCCCTGCCTGAGGCTGCCTTCCCAAACTATCAACCCCTGCTGGGGAGGAAGGGAAGCCTGAGGGGTGACTGGTAGCCCTCATCATTCTCCACACACTGGCCAAGCACACAGGAGGTCCAGCTCCAGGGAGAATGTCTGTGCTTCGAGGCACAGGGTGGGATGGTATAATGGAGTGGGGAGAGGGGGATCTTGGCATCTCAGTGGGTGCCGACAGCAGGTGGGGTGGGGGCACCAAGGTTAACTAACTCACCGTCTGTAGCACAGCAAATTTCACCTTCCCAAACTTATCTTGCTCTACCCAGGGCTCCCGCACGATTTTGGCGCCCCGTTCCCGGGCTTTCTGCAGAGGAGATGGGGTGGGAAGGCGTAAGTGCTGGACCCTCGGGGAGCCCTTGCCTGCTGCCCCTACTGCATCGTGTCTGCCTGGTTCTGCCTCAGCCTCGTCCAGTTTTCCCAGCCCCTGGTAGGAACCCCAGCCAACTTCAGCTGTTGCCCTTGACACCCAAGTCTCATGCCCATTCAGCAGATAGGGAAACTGAGGCCCAGGCCCAGAGCCAGGCCTATGGGAAACAAGCCAGGTAGGGCTGGGGGTGTCTGTCCTGCCTTGGCTAACGCACTCTGTGGCCCTTCCCCACTCCAGTCCTCAGTTTCCCCATCTGTAGAAAAGGTGGTTGGATAAGATGAGTACAAGCTGGCATTTATTGAGCACCTACTATGTGTCAGACCCTCTGCCAAGTGCCTTACAAGCATGATCCGTGTATTAGCAAAACCTTATTTCTGCACATCTATCTTGTCACGTGTGAGGCCCTGTTGTAGGGATTAACCTCTTTGATCCTCACAACATTTCATGAAAGGCACTGTTGTCTCTTTTACAGATGAGGAAACTGAAGCACAGAGAAGTTAAGTCATTTGCCGGAAGTCACACAGCTGATAAGACTCAGACCCAGCAGTCCGCCTTTGGAATCTACTCTCTGAACCTCTAAGCTGCCTCTTGAATACAGTGTTTGGTACAGAGTCGTGCTCAAGAAATGGTAATGATGATCTAGTTTCTTCTCTGTAACACTTCGGTGAGATAGTTGGTTATTCCATTTTACAGATGTGGAAACTGAGGCTCAGAAAGAGGACACATGGTTAGTAAGGGGCAGAGTGTCACCAGAACTCAGGTGTGTATCACACCAACGTCTGGGTGCATTGCTCCAGCACGGCAGTGTCCACCAGCCCTGACTGATAGGGGTCCCAGTGGCAGATAGGGGGCAGGCCGAGCCTTATTGCTTTGTCCTCGTGCCAGCCCAGGTGCAGTCTCACCTGCACGATGTAGTCACAATCTTCCACCTCGAACGCGATGTCCTTCACTCCATCACCATGTTTCACCAGGTGGTCACCCATCTCTGTGGCCAGCAGGGGAGGCGGGTGGCACTGGAGTCATGGCCCCTCACCTGTACTCTCAGCCTTCTGGGCGCCATCTCATTCTAGGCTGAGACCCCCTCCCTGAACCCTGACCCACCCATGTGTCCCTGACCCCTCTCCAAAGATCACATCTTCACCCGCTGGCACCCAAACTCTCCGGGGCCCCCTCACCTTTGTTCCACGGGTTGAGGGCAGAGGAGAAGACAAACACAATCTAAGACACAGAGGAGGAGGGAGGCGTGGCTGGTGGCTCTGGTGAGCTTGTGGAGGGGCAGCCCCGTGCCTTCCTCCCTGCCCGCCAGTGAGACATCCCATCAGGACCAGATTCACCCTCCCAGCCAGGCAGGACTCTTGAACTGGGGTTCCTGTCCCTTCGCTGCCTTAGCTTCCCCCTGGCCCTGAGGGATGGGGGCTTCTCCTGTACCAGACCCTCCTGGGGTCCTGGGGTGAGCTGCTGGTCAGGCCTCCCCACGGGGGAGAGCTGCAGGGATCCTGGACCAGGGCACTGCCCAGACTTCCAGCTCTGAGGTTTGAGGCCTTTGCCAACTTTCCCTGAACATCTCTGAGGCCAGTGTTGGGCGGGGCCAAGAAGGAGACCAAACTAACAAGGTCTCCATTGCATGTGTACAAAGGTGCCGGGGGGAGGGCCCGGTGGGGGCTGAACCCAGTGCCTTCTCCCGTAGCCACACCAGGCCCGCTGGCAGAGGACTGGCTGCCTGGAGGAAGGGCCCCCTGGTCTCTGCAACCGGCAGTAGGTGTTTGGGGGGTCCTGGCGTGGGGGGACTCACCTTTCCTTGCTTGATCACGTGGCTCACCACCTCCCGGGAACGTGTCTCCAGGCCCTTGTAGGCTAAGGGTTCAAAGCCCATCTTGCTGCAGTAGTACGAGGCAGCCTGAACCACAGAGTTGCAGCTGGGTCCGTGAGGGTTGGAGGGCCAGCCTGGTGGACCCCCAGCTGAGAGCCCCCAGTCCCCTCAGCCTGCGTGCCGCATTGCCCCAGGTGCAGAGTCCCTCCTGGGAAGAAAGGCTGCTCCCTGGCCCATTCTGATCTCAGGGGAGTTTCCCGCTGGGGTCTGCGGCCCCGATTGTGTAACTAGGATCCAAAGAGTGCCTGTCCTTCCTGGAACAGTCCCAACACTGGCCCTGATCCTCCCCTCCCAGGGGCCAATCACAGATCCGGCTGGAGGCTTGCCCTTGTCCAGCAGCCCCTCTTGCCTGCCCTCTGCCCATTTCCAATGCCTTGCCCCGGCTTCTACCTGCTTGGCGTTGCCAACCCAGAAGGTCACGGAGTGGAAGTGGAGGAATCGGCCTCTCTCGGGCTGCAGAGGGAGAGAAGGCCAGGGTGAGTCTCTGGAAGTGGGTCTAGAAAAGTGAGGGTGGAGAAGTGTCGCCTAGCCACGGCCCTCGTCCCAGACTCAATCTCAGAACTAAGGAGAAGCCGATCCCACCGCCCCCCTCAGCCTTGCCAAGCCTCAGTAGAGATTTCTCATATGGAAATTGAGCTCCTGTGGGCTGAGGATTGGTAGGCTTGCCCAGGTTTCATAGGGGGACATAACCTTGTGTTACAGCAACACAGATTTAAATTAGACCTTAGAAAGAACTTCCAGACAGGATTAAGAGATTGGCAAAATTTTAAGAAGAGGTAAAATTTTTTCTTAGGAAGGCAAGGTTGAGTTCAGCTCGGTCTAGACATGACCAAGGGGAAGACATGAACTTGAAGGTGCATCCTGGACTTCACATACCCACTGTAGTTATTTCTCTTCAGCTCTTTGCTTACATCCAGTCTCCTTGGTCCCTGACCCCACATTTCCCCTCCTGCTTACCTTCTCTCCTTTGTTGCTGTAAGTCGTCTAAGGAGAAAAGAAAGGACAGTAAGAGGTGGAAGCTTGGACACAGGTGCTTCTGGAAGTCTCACTGCACATTCGTACCATGGGGGGAGGCTGCCATGGCCCCAGGCACTTACCATGACTGATCTTGGTCAAACTTCTTGCTGGGAAGACTGGGACGGACGAAAGGCCAGCAGGATGTTGGACAGAAGTATTTAACATCCATCAGGTCCCGCCTCTGGCCTCCTGGCCTTCCCTGGGGTAGGAGCTGATCCTGAGAGCTCCTAGGCCTGGAAGCCTCTGATCCAGCTGCGGCCTCATTGGACAGTGTGATGCTGTCAGGCCCAGAGAAGGGGAGTGACTCGCCCAAGGCCATCAGCCAGTGGTGGGCAGACCCAGGGCCAGAAGCCAAGGGCGCATTCTTTCCAGGACCCTGGGCTGGGATTGTGATCTCTGCCCTGCAGAATCCAAAGCTCAGAAGCCAAGGCCAGCATAGGTGCAGAAGTGGCTCCAGAATTCTTATTAAGAGAGAATTTGAGGGGAGATTAAGAACTGGTCTTGAAGTCCTGTTTGCATAGTAAGTGTGTGGTTTACATTTAGGTGAAAAGGTTGTGTTTCATAGTGGTTGGAAACATGGGTGTGGGGGTTTGAATCCTGGAGATGCTACATGCTATGTGGCTGGGGAAAGTTACCGAACCCCTCCAAGCCTCAGTCTTCCCACCATCTGCAAAATGGGAGCAATAATAGTGTGGTAGGGGCTTAGATGAGATAAACATAAGTTTTTGGACTACAACCTGGCACACAATAAGCTTCATAACATATGCTTAGTTATGTTTCTCTGGGGGTTTTGGGAGGGGCCTGACTGTTGGCGTAGCCGTAGCCTGCGTATTGGGAAAGGGGTGATGGCCCCCCCTGCTGCCACAGAGCGGTGGGAAGGTGGAGTTAGTGGCCCTGGGAGGAGGAAGGCCTGGGGCTCTCCCCAGCATCCCCACACCTGAGTCCTCAGGTCTCTCTTTCCTGGAAGGTGAAGCGTTGACTGCTGGCCAGCTGTGGCATTTACCTGAGGGACTCAGGCCAGCCTCATGCCTCTAGCTCCACCTTGGTCCCCAGAAACTCTGCCACTGAGCCATCTTGCCCTCTTCTGAGGGCACTGACTTTATCAATTATCCTCACTGCCTGGAAACCCTTCCAGCCTCTGACGCTGGCAGTCTCGGCCCATGACTGTATGACTACCCCCTCCCCTCTTGCATTTTGGCTCCCCACGCATCCTTCATTAGCCTTTTTTGCTGTTGTCTTTTGAAAGTGAAAAGTTTGTCTCAATTATAAATAGTTCACAGGGGTTTTTTTCCAGATTTTTTTTTTAAGTTCATTAATTTCTCCCACTGCTCACCCCTTGCCTCTGGCAACCACAGGTCAGTTCTCTGTATCTATGAACTTGTGTGTGTGTGTGTGTGTGCGCACACATGTGTATGTGTTTTAAGATTCCACATATAAGAGAGGTCAAATGATATTTGTCTTTCTCTGTCTGACTTATTTCACTTAACATAAGTTCATCCAATTCCAGGTCCATCCATATTGTTGCAAATGGCAACATTCCATTCTTTTTATGGCTGAATAATATTCCACTGAGTATATATACCATATCTTCTTTACCTAGTCTTCCATCATCAATGGGCACTTAGATTGCTTCCATACTTTGGCTATTGTAAATAATGCTGTAGTGAACATGGGGCACAGATACCTTTTTGAGTTAATGTTTTTGTTTTCTTTAGATAAAAATCCAGAAATGGAATTGCTGGATCATATTTCTACTTTTAATTTTTTGAGGAATCTCCACATTGTTTTCCATAGTGACTATACCAATTTACATTCCCACCAAGAGGGCACCAGGGTTCTTTTTTCTCCACATCCTCACTAACACTCATTTTTTCTTGTCTATCTGATACTAGCCATCCTAACAGGAGTAAGGTGGTATCTCACTGTGGTTTTGATTTGCTATTTCCTGATGATTAGTGATACTCAGCATCTTTTCTTGTGCCTGTTGGCCATCTGTATGTCTTCTTTGTAAAATGTCTATTTAGATCTTCTGCTCATCTTTAAATTGGATTATTATTATTACTATTTTTTGCTATTGAGTTGTGTGAGTTCTTTACATATTTTAGACAGCAGCCCCTTATCAGATAAATGATTTGCAAAGATTCTTTGCCATTCAGTAGGTTGCCTTTTCATTCTGTTAATGGTTTCCTTTGTTGTGCAGAAGCCTTTTGATTTGATGTAGTCCCACTTGTTTATTTTTGCTTTTGTTGCTCTTATTGTTAGTGTCAGAGGCCTTTTTCTTTTAAATACAGAAAAACAGATCATTTTGGCTTGTTATGACCTCAGGGATCATTTGATCCAACATTCTCATTTTCCAGATGAGAAAAACTGACAAACAGCAAGAAGGTGCCTACACTCCTCCCCTCTTTCCTCCCTCCCTCCCTCCCATGTCCTTCCCTCCCCACCAGGGAGCAGAGAGTGGCTTGTTCCAGGGAAGAGCCCCCTTCACCACCTCCCTCAGCAAAACCTGCCACAGCCCCTGAGCCACTCTCAAGTTTCCACCTCCTCCAGGAAGCCCTCTCAGAACTCCCCAGCCCCAGGTCAGAGGTTCAGCTGCTTACCGGCCATGGGTCAGCCTTAGCCAGCAACCCAGGGGGTAGGGCCCAGGACAGTTACAGAACTTTCCTAGGCCGCCCAGTTAGCAAGTGACAGAGTAGAACTGGAATGTGAACCAGGTTATTCTAACTCCAGACCTGACACTTTAAATCATCTATTGCCTTGTATACAAACGGGAGATACTGATAATCCCCACCAGACAGATGGGGAAGCTGAGGCCCGGAGAGGGAACATATGTCCCCAAGGCTGCTGAGCTGGTAAGAGCAGAGATCCAAACTCTGACCCATTTGCTTCTGAAGTGGGACCCCATTCTGCCAGTCCAGACACCTTGTCCCTTCTTTTCCCTGTTTTCTGGGCAAATCTGGAGGTAAGTGATGTGATCCCACCTCCGTATCTGGCCCTCCTGGGCCAGCCTGCTCTCAGTGTCCACTTTATCCCCTGGGTCTCACTTTCCAGCTGAGAAAACTGGAGTCGAGGTAGCCGAGGGTGGAGCCCTCAGGCCAGAGGTTTCCACCAGGGGAGAGCGCTCAGCGCAGCCCTCCCACCTCCCGGGTGAGGAGGAACACCTCGTCCCCGTGCTCGCAGCAGCCAGCCCGGAACCTGGCCTGGCTTGTGTCCTGGGCACAGAGTCAATGTTTGCTGAATCAAGGAAGCATGTGAGCAGCAGCCTCGGGTGCCAAAGGCGGGTGTCGGCCCAGCTGGCCAGGGCTGGTGTCTTCATCCCTCCTGTCCTCGGGACTCTGCTTCCAGAAATGCTGTGCTTCTCAGTCACACTCTGGATACACCCCTAGGTGCCTCTCCCATGAGAGGCTGGGGAGGGGGACCTGCAGGACCTGAGCCCCCATGTCCCCTCCCAGATGCTCCCTCTCAGGCTGGGCTGGGTAACAGAGCAGCGGGTGTGCACGGCTGGCTGTTTCTGCTCTTTGTTCCGGAGTCGCCAGTTTATCCCCACGTGGCGCTGGCAGCTGAGTTGGCTGGCAGAGGCCTGGCTCCAGGAGCCCGCTGTACAGGCAGGCTCTATGACTCGTCCTCCACTGTGCCCTGCGGCGTGACGAGAGTGACCACAGCAGGCTTGACGTTGCTGTTTGCAGGAAGGTCTGCTTTCAAGGTTGAGCCTTGGTTGGCATTGAGGAACTTGGATTTCAGGGAGGTTCCCACCATCCCTAGAAATGATGACAGTCACTCACTGGGTCTAAACTGGACAATGTGGCTTGTGCTGAATTGATGCTTCTCTCCGGGGAGCCTGGATTTTGGTTTGTGCTGTGCAGTGGGTACCTATGTGACCCTGAAGTGGTATCTCACTGCGCTTCTGGTTTGCATTTCCCTAAAGGCTAATGATGTTGATTTTTAAGTGCTTATTGCTAATTTGCATGTCTTCTTCAGAGAAATATGTATTCACATCCCTTGTCTACTTTTTAATAGTATTCTTTTTCTTTTTATTACTGAATTGTAATGGTTCCTTATATATTCCTTTATCAGGAATCAAGTCCCTGTCAGATACAGGATTTGCAAATATTTTTCCCGTTCTGTGGTCATCTTTTCACTTTCTTGATGGTATCATGGGCAGCACAAAAGTTTTTAATTTTGATGAAGTCCAATTTATCTATCTTTTTCAGTTGTCACTGGTGCTTTTGGAGTTGTATCTAGGAAGCGGGGCTGATTTTTAACTTAAAAGGTATTCAGCTGAAGGAGTGTGATCAAGTTGTCATCTCTGGAGGCAAAGCACTTTTTCAAAATAATAATAATAATAATAATAATAACAACAACAACAACAACAACAATAACAACAACAACAACAACAACAACTTGGATTTTCTGGTCTCTTTGCTTTATGTGCCGGGCACTGTGCTAAGCACACTCGATGCCGTGCCCTTTAATTGCTAAATCCTCTAACAACCCTGTGGGGTAGTGCTATCATCCCCATTTTACAGATTGGAACGTGGAGGCTTAGAGGAACGTCCAAGGAACCTGGCTAAAAAGTGACAGAACTGAGAATTAAATCCAGACCTGACCCTCCGATATCTGTATGCCAGCCACTTTCAGCCATGCTGCCTTCGCTTTTGGAAAATGCTTTGCAAATGACCCCTGAGTCCATTTTCAAGCAGCAGGAGAAAACCAGCCTCTTGGCTTTCTCACTAAGTCCCTGGAGAAGCTTCCTCACCCTTTGGCCTGTGGCTGAGTGGGGAGGGCTGGGTTGGCAAGGGTGCAGGATGGGCAAAGGAGGGAGGGAGGGTGCAGGCATGGATGGGGGCTCTGCGGACAGGCTAGGGAGGAGCAAAGTCCTTGTGTAGGCAGAGGTGGTTGCTCCTGCTGAGCAACCTTGGGCAAGTCACTTCACCTCTCTGAGCCTCAGTTTCCTCATCTGTACAGTGGGAATTAGAGTAATACCTCCCTCATAAGGTTGTTATGAGGATCATCTGAGCTAAAGTATGGAGAGTGCTTTGCTTGATGCCTGGCACATGACAGACTCACCTAATGGTTACTGATTATGCTAATTGTCATAGGGAATGTGGGAGGGTCTTGAATGTCAGGTTAGGGGGTTTGGACTTCATCTTTGAGGCAATGGGGAGCTACTGAAGGTTTTATGCCAGAGTTGCAACATCATCAGGACTTTAAAGGCTTTTCT